TGACATTTGTCACTCATTGCAGATTAATGCTCTGAAAGATGTTTCCTTTGGCTGGGCTCTTCTATCCCGTTTTGGCTTAACTCTCACCTCCAAACTTTAGCTTGCCAGTCACCCCATTTGTGTGCATACATGGATACCACGAAGAATATATGGTAACTCATCATACTTACGGTTCTTTGAGTGGTGATCCATGTATCCACACAATCCACCCACCTCCCCTCTGTCTTGCAGTGGACAATTGGGAGTGAGGAGAGCAGGGCCTCGCATGCATGATATAGGCAAATACACTTTTGCTGAGGTTCAGGAACTTTCCGCAAAGCATTCATGTAGGCACAAACTCCATTTGTATGGATAAATGGATCACCACTCGAAGAACCATAGTTACGGTGAGTAACCATGTCGTATGTCTGATGGAGAGCAGGGCCATAACCCTCCTGACTGAAGTTCATTCCTGAGCCACTGCTGAAGTATCTGTGCAACATGTTAGGTGGGTTCCACATTAAATAATATTTAATATGTAAGAGATAGAATTAGTCTCTTACACTAATTCTGTTTCAGAAGCTTTGTAGCTTAAATTAAGTAGCATTAAACTTAATTTTTATGGTACATTACAAGTAGTGAAAACTTTCCACATAGATTATTTCCATCAACTTTGTGTAATGTCAGCAGTTATTAATATTTCCTCATGATATATTGCAAAGGAAAGTTGCAGCACAACCAGAAAACAGCGGCAAGCTAGACGTTTGTCAGGTATCTATAGACATTTGAGTGAAGTTACAGTCATGTTTGATGTCACAGTGCTTGTAACGGAGACATGGAATAGAAAGTATGAATGAAATGAGAACTATGATAATTTTCTGGAAGTGATTTTCTCCCTACTTCTTTTATTCAAATGGAAAGATTATGTGATAGTTTTTGAACCAATGGAAAAGCACTGGAAAGGTCTAGACTGGTAGATAGCAGTTAGAAAGAGGCTTACATTGAAGCTTAACCTTGGCAATCAGGCACTGTCTCAGAAAGGTAGAAAGGTCAGCAGGTAGCTGCCATAACAAACACAGATAGTTGAAACAATTTGGGCAGCTAGAAACAGGAAGTGGAAGGAGGATAAGAGAGATAGAAAGGCATGTAAACAAAGCTGAAAAGCACTAAGTAAACTTGGATTAAAGGAAGAGGGCAAATTTTTGATAAGAACATTAAGTGGTTGTGCCAGGGTTCATGCAATGATTATATTTTCTACAATGTCAGTTATTTATTTTTCCCCCATTAGGGAAGGGCACATTGAAGACGGAGCTTTTCTTTTTACAGGGCACAATAAATAAACTTTAGTGCTGGAGGTGTCTAGAAACAATTGAAGATTTTGGTGCCTTTTAGAGGACAGAATTGCTTGTAACACTTTACGTTAGGAACTGCCAGCACTAGATTATTTAGTAAAAGAGGAAGAAATACTGTATACGAAAGCTTAGTATTTCAGAAGGAAAGGGTGAAAAGTAGCAGTTTCCTGATAACTCTTAGTTATCTGCTCAAGTAAGCTGTGACTTTCTCATCCTATGGTTTAAATCTCATTGACTCCTGCATGTATTTAAAAGGAGGGAGCAAACATCTTCTGTTGATATCACCACTTATGAGGACCAGTATCACCACTATTTCTACAGGATACAGCATCATTTCAATATCAAAAATAAAACCTTGGTAATGTATGGAACTGAGGAAGTAGCTGAGGAAACTTAGCTAAAAACCTGTTGCAGATTGGTAACAGAAGCGGGCAAGGGACTTTTGGGGGGTATGATTTTTCGCTAGACATTGACTTTTTGCGATCACTATAGCGATTCGCAAAACAGTGATTCCTATGGGGGAATTTCGCTGGACAATGTTTAGTCCCTGATTTTCGCTAGACAGCTCCCTCCGCGCTCGCAAAACAGGTGTTTTCGGGACCTAAGCTTCTCAAGACAGCGATTTAAACAGCTGATCGGCAGTTCGCAAAGCGGCTTTCCTATGGCTGATCTTCGCTAGACAATGACAATTCTTCCCCATTGGAAAGCATTAAACAGGTTTCAGTGCATTCCAATGGGGAAATGCTTTTTGCTAGACAATGATTTCGCTAAACAGCGATTTCAGTGGAATGGATTATCATTGTCTAGCGAGGCACCACTGTATATTCAACTCCTTGCATTTTCAGGCTAACAAAGTAGGCATTTGGATGCTGGACCAGCACTGGATAGAAGCCCTGGACAGAAAAGTCTACATTCAGTCCATAAAATACCTTCCAAAGTTAGTCCCAGAATAACCAAATTGATGAATGCCAGCATGCAGTAAAGTCACCAAGAAATGTGGGCTCCATAACAAATATCCAGTGTATACCTAAGTCCTTGGTGGCTGGTGACTTTATTCATTATCTATCTATCTATCTATCTAGCTATCTATCTATCTATCTATCGATCTATCTATCTATCTATCTAGCTATCTATCTATCTATCTATCGATCTATCTATCTATCTATCTATCTGTCTGTCTGTCTGTCTGTCTGACTGACTGACTGACTGACTGACTAATCTAGCTAGCTATGGGGGTGTCCTTCTTTTCTAGAGTTGGCCAAGTTATACTCTGCACTTGCCAGATAGATAAGCATGTTCTTTCAACAATCATCAGCATAATTTTAAAGGATAATTTGCAGTGTGTGTGTGTGTGTGATGATTCTTTGTAGAATGCCCCCTTACTTTCATTACATTCATCAGATAATTAATTTGGTCAGTAATGGAAACCTGTCCTCTATTATCTGTGCATAGATGACTTTTCAATTCAATTGGTGTGATGTATTTATGAGTTTAGAAGCAGAAGAATTTCCATCCCTGTCTTCTTAGGAGTCTCTATTACCATTTGCAAGGATCGTCCCTGTCTTCTCCAATGAAGGTATGGAGAGCACCACAGATAGCAAGTAGGAAGGAGAGGAAGTGGCAGACTGGCCAGCTGAGTGATGGACCCATGGAGATTCAAATGGGGTGGCCGTTGGCGATAGTTTTGCCTCTGCAAATGGAGCAGGTGTTCCATGAGCTTTGGTTAGGCAAGATATGAGAAAAACATTTGGATGTGCTTTATTTGGAGGGAAGTGAAGAAAGGATAGGAGTTGGGGAATCAATTAAGTGACAGGGACTTTTAATTTGGAGCTCCAACATTTTGAGTCCTTGGACAGGTCCCTTGTTTTTGAGCCTCATTGTTCTTTGTGTAAAATCAGTGTTGTTGCAGCAAATGTGGAAAAAGAAGATGTGGCATAAGTGGAGCCTGGTAGCCACTTTGTGACTGTAGATAACTTGATTCCAACCCTCTTCCAGGCCATCAGTGGCACAGTTTAAAAGCAGAGCATGAGAGCAGCAGCATTTGCATAACACTTTTTTCCTCACTTGTTTTTCATAGGTGAAGTTCATCTGGACATATAGGTCCACTCTAACTATGTTGTTGTTTAGTCATTTAGTCATGTCCAACTCTTCCTGAACCCATGGACCAGAGCACACCAGGCCCTCCTGTCTTCCACTGCCTCCCAGAGTTGGATCAAATTCATGTTGGCAGCTTCAATGACACTGTCCAACCATCTCGTCCTCTGTCGTCCCCTTCTCCTCTTGCCTTCACACTTTCCCAACATCAGGGTCTTATATATTGACTCTAACTATAATGAGTATTAAACTGTTACAGCAAGTTAGCATGCACCTCAGTACTCATATTCCATATGTAAAGTCTAGGAGCTGTGCAAGGTTGCATGTTTTTTTTAACCCTCTTTTAAAAAGGGATGGAAACAAAGCCAATTTTTTGTTTCTTCCAGCTGCTTGGAACATCATTTACTCTCCAACTGGACATTTCTGAAAATTAGGCTTTGATCCTAAAGCATTTTCTTGGGCTTCGTTTCCATTCTGTTGGAGCTGAGCCAGAAAATGTGTGACTTTAATTGGTTGTAATTCTGAGCCATCATTTCTACTTCAAGTTTATTGCTAGTCAGTTCTTACATATTGAAGCCTCAGATCCCCTTACTTATCCTAAGTGACTAGCAAAAGCTTTTTAAATAGTGTGCACTTGCAAAGTTCTGCTGTGCATTGGCCACTTGATCTTAAGCAAGGGAAGTATCTTGATTTTATTTTCCTGTGGATAAGAATGGAGGATGCAGTGTGTGATTTAACATACTTCTATTCCATTGGTTATATATCTACAACAAAGAGCCTTGTGATACCTTAAAGTTAATTGTTGCTGGACCTGTTTTTAAAAATCGATCTGTTCTGCCTTTCAGCAGTGGGCATAGGGGATAGCGTTGTGAGGTCACATTTTGGATGCAATGGTTGACTAACTATGCTGTTTTTGTATATGTGGTACCTCTTCTCATGTAGATTTTCCCAGCTCTTGCTGGCCTCAGATTTATGTAACTAAACACATATAGACAGGTACAAAGATGAGCATTCCTTTGAAGTTATTTGAAGTCTTGGCTTTTGTCCCTTATATATGGTGCTGGGATTGTTTCACAGCTTGTCATGGCATGGTGAAAGAGGTCATGGTGAGACATTGCACGCAGATCTGGCTGAAGCTGACTGCTAAGGATCTTGTCATGGCAACCAAGAATGAGCCTACAGAGGTCCAGGGTCCTGTCTGCAGGAGCAATAAGAAACTAGGAGGCCATTGTCCTCTCAGACAACACTCACCTTATTTTCCAGTTTAACAGATTCTGTGGCCATGCAAGCAACCATCTTGTCTGCATCTGCAGGAACCTGAGTAACATTTATGTGTGCTTGCATAGATAGGAGAGCTGCTATTAACTTGTGGCAATTATGCCCTGCTGGACATATACTGTAGGTGGAAAAACTCTCAGGGCCACTTAACATATCAATAAAAAGACTAGACAGTCTCTGCCACCAGGCATATAAATTGACAAAATATAAAACCAAAGCAAAAGGAAATGAGGGGATGGGGCGGGGAGCAGAAAACAAGAAAACTGAGGCACACATTCTTAATGTCACAAGATTTTTTTTTCATCCTGATGGAATAGCTGCTGAGTGAGTCTTCTATTTTCCCCTTATTTTCCTTGACTTGTTCATGGAGCTGGTTTTGCAGGCAGTTTAATCATAAATCAGCTTTTTCTCTCCCCATGTCATTTAGTCTGTTAGGATAGCTGCAAGACAACAAGAGATGCCTGCCTGAGAGTGTGACTACACTGAAAAGCCATTCATTCAAATTCCTTCACTACAATTTGATTCTCAGCCCACATTACATTTGAAATCACAATCAGTATTCACACAGGGGCTATGGTTGTTTCGGCAGTTGTTTGGGAGTGTGGTAGCATGCCTGGGTTGCTGGCAGATGTTCTCAGTATAGGTACAGGTTTTCCACCCAGTGCTCTTGTATATGTCACCAAAGGGATGGTGATCACATTGATGCTTGACAAGGACAAGGTAGGTTAGCTTTTGAAAATGTAAACAATGTGGTGAAGCAGCTGTCTTAAGAATAACAGACAGTGTATTCCCTCCTGGATGCCTTGACCAACTCATGGGTGACAGAGAAACTGCTTCTTCAACGTGTCCTCTATGAATCCACACCAGTGGGTTAAACAACGCCTTCGCTGGTCCTCTCAGAACTTTCTAGAGCTATAGGAAAAGCAACAAAGTTTAAGTTGCCCTGTATCACGCATGCTCCGCCTGCCAAGCCTCAGTTCCATTTTTTCGCCCACGGAGTTGGAACCTCTCAGCTAGAGCTGCTTTAAACTCAATATTCTTTATTGTTTATTCGACTTGTATTTGGCTTTTCGACCTCCCTATTTCTGTTGCCCTGACTACGGTTTGACTACTCTTCTGCCTCTGGTGATCTTGCAAGTACTCTAAATTGCTCCTAATTGCTGCCTATTTATCGCCCGCTGAGGCGCCACGCGGCGACCGGACTTGTTCTATTATCACCTCATCAGTTAGTTTCCTGCTTTCCTCTGCTTATGTCACCTAAAAGAGGACCATTTAGCCTTTGTTCCTCCTGCTCTAGGAAGCTTCCTTTCTCAGACAGACATTCCCTTTGCGTTTTCTGTTTGGGGGAGACTCATCAACCAAGCCACTGCAAAGAATTTACAAAGGCTACCCTTAAAACTCGCCAACAATGTCTTAAATATTTCCTGTGGAACCAAACTGTCTGTTTCACAACCGGCTGACATGGAGTCTACCCAATCTACATCCTCAGTTCGTTCTGAGATTCGAGTGGTTTCCCCACCTCTCCAAGCTGCTAAAGAAAAACCTAAGAAAAAACCAGTACTGTATTTGCTGGTGTATAAGGCGACTGGGCGTACAAGACGACCCCCCAACATTTCCACTCAAAATGTAGAGTTTGTTATATACTTGCTGTATAAGACTACCCCCTCTTCCGCATGCGTGATTCTGGTTCCTTTTGCTGGGAGAGAGCGAGGGTTTCCTGGAAGAAGGACAGCATCAGCGCCGAACAGCAGACTGTGGGGAAGCAGCAGAGAGGTGGCAGCCATTTTGAAGAGGCGGCAGCCATTTTGAGAGGCAACAGCCATGTGGTCGCATCTCAAAATGGCTGCCTCCTCTCTGCTGTTCCCGACAGTCAGCTGTTCGGTGCTAGAGTCAGGCTGTTCCCAGGCTAAGAGCGGGGCTCTACTTGGTCTTACTACCAGGTAAGTGACTTCGCTGGGAGAGAGGGAGGGTTTGCTGGATGTGCACCCGGTGTACAAGATGACCCCCCCACACTTGGAGGCATGTTTTTCAGGGCCAAAAAGTCATCTTGTACGCCAGCAAATACGGTAGCAAAGAAAACACTTACCAGTTCGTCTGCTCCCATGACATCTTCGGAGCTGAAACAGAAAAAAGCATCGATTAAAGCCAAGGCAAAGTCCAAGGAACTTACTCTCATTGTCCCTCCGATCTCAACATCTTTCCCGTCACCCATACTTGAAGACTCTTCTCGGGACTGAGATTCGACAACTGAAATGGGCGCCTCTTTACCACCTCAACAGGAACCCCCTCTCGACATCGAGAGGTCGCCAACTGCTAGCCAGCTAGCCCAGGCTAGCTCGGTATAGCTAATGCCCCTAATAGCCCTGTTTTAACCGGGCGGGCATCTCGATCCCCATCTTCAGCATCGGGATCTCTTGCCTCCAAGTCTCCACCTCCACCTTGAGGGAGACCAGAGAAACCTTTGGATGTTCCCTCCCCTCGACGTCCTCCAACAGATCAGGATGAGGGACCTCCATCGAAAAAACCTCGATGCCGTCACAGGCACCAGCATGGCTATGACTCCAGCGTTGAGAAATGTAAAAGACATTGACGTTGAGAGGACATCTCCTTCTCCGATTCCGACTATAGTGCAGAAAGAAGGAGATCACGCCGTCGGCATCAAAGGAGAGATAACTCTTCTGAGTCATCTTCGACGTTGAGAGACCGTAGAAGAAGGAGAAAGAGGGCATGTTATGCCTACTCTTCATCCTCACCTTCGCTTTTTCCACCGAGGAAACATCGACACCGAAAACCTCTTGGTGTGGACACCCATAAATCCTCCACATCGACAGGACAAAAGTGATTCATGGAGCCAACACCTCCTTTTTGCTAAAGCATCCCATTCTAAACTCACTTGTAGTAGAGTCTAGTGCTTCGAAAACCCCTGCAAAGGGTCATGCTACTCCTTCCAATAAGGAGGGTAGGAAATTGGATGTTTTGGGACGTCGGTTGTATACCATGACTACCTTTGTCATGAGAGCAATTAACTACTTAGTAGCCATGGGTGCTTACAAGAAACAACTCTGGTCTAGGGTTCTACCAGCTTTACAAGTTGCACCAGATGATATCAGACAACTGTGCCTCAACACTCACGCTGAAGCTTTGACTGTTTCAAAGCACCAACGCTTGGCATCCCACCATATAGCTGATGCCACTGCGAGAAATCTCACTTCTATCATTACTTTGAGACGCCATGCGTGGCTGCGATCAGCCAATATTATGGAGGACATTAAAACTAAGATCGAAAACTTACCTTTTGATGCCTCCGGGCTATTCAGTGAAAATACAGACGAAAATCTTGAAAGCCTACATAAGAGCGAGAAAACAGCAAAATCTTACCCCATACAACAACAGCCAAAAACTGGAAAGTTTCAATGGCATTGTAGATATCCCCAACAATCTTACCAGCAATCCACATCTAACACTTACCGTTCCTTCAGGAATCAGGGTCAACCAAGGTCTTCTCAAGCCTCTTCATCCACCTCCAGCTTCAAGCCACAGTCAAGCCTTAAACGACAGTCCTACAAAGCGTTTGGTAGGAAGTGAAAACAATATCTTTGACTTCACCAGACCCATCTCAAGTGTCAACCACACAACCTGCCTGTCTCCACATCTTCACAACTGGCTCAGGATAACACAAGACTCCTGGGTCTTAAACATTATAAGCTCAGGTTACCGGCTGGAGTCTATAGAATTGCCTCCTCTAGGATGGGTCAAGCCTACATCGTTCAATCCCATCCTAGAAGAAGAGATTCTCACCCTTCTTGCAAAACAAGCCATCCAGAAGGTACTGAATCGGGACATACAAAATGGGTTTTACTCCCGGTACTTCACGGTACCCAAGAAAGACAGCGGCCTGAGGCCAATTCTGGATCTAAGGGATTTAAATACCTACCTCAAACAACACCGTTTCAGGATGGTCACCATAGAAGCAATCATCCACCTGTTGAAGAGAGGAGATTGGTTTGTTGTTGTGGATCTAAAAGATGCGTATTTCCACATCACCATTCATCAAAAGTATAGGAAATACCTGCGTCTAATCTTCATGGACACCATTTACCAATATGTGGCTCTTCCCTTTGGTCTTTCAACAGCTCCAAGGACCTTCACAAAATGCATGGCCCCAGTAGCAGCTTACCTCCGTCTACAAGGGATACAGATTTACTCGTATATAGACAATTGGCTGATTGTGTCCAAGGCAAGAGCACTCAAAGACACACAGTATGTCCTTCACACTCTGCAAGCACTAGGCCTGTCTATAAACTACGAGAAATCAACTTGGAACCATCCCAAGTGATGAATTACATCGGGGCAAGGCTGGACTCAATCCATGCTCGCATGTTCCTGCCCCCCGAGCACATACAAAAAATACGAAGAGCAGTTCAGAAATTCAAGCCTCATGGCAGAGTATCAGCAAGGCTTGCACAACATCTTCTAGGTTTGATGGCATCAACAACATGCACCTTATCCCATGCTCGTCTCAAGATGCGCTCCCTTCAGTCTTGGTTGCTCGTTCTCTTTGACCCTCTTTGACACAGTCAGCACAAGCGCCTAACAGTCACTCCAAAGCTTGCACAACAGCTTCAGTGGTGGACATTCCTACCACATCTTCTGATAGGACGACCGTTTTGACCCCTGCAGTTGACATGCCATGTCACAACGGATGCCAGTCCCCTAGGTTGGGCAGCTCATTGCGAAGGGCACCAGATTCACGCCTTTTGGTCCCCTCAAGAAGCTTCTCTCCACATCAATCACTGGGAGCTGATAGCGGTAATAAAAGCACTCAGAGTGTTTCTCCCTCTGGTAAAAGGCAGAGCAATTCAGCTGGTCACAGACAACACTACGACCATGTTCTATATAAACAAACAAGGAGGAACACGGTCAAAATCCCTTCTATACCTGGTAGTCCACCTATGGGAGTGGTGTTACCAGCAGCACATCTTTCCGGTGGCCATTCATGTATCCACAACAGACAATCAGCTGGCAGACGAGTTGAGTCGTTGCTTGTTTCAATCTCACTAGTGGGAACTCGATCAAAAGGTATTCCTCAGTCTGTGCCACAGGTGGGGGTATCCATCAGTAGACATGTTTGCAACACCAACCAACAAGAAGTGCGACAAATATGCTTCCCGTGCAGGGAAGGGCAAAGGATCACTAGGGTAGTCCACCTATGATTCCCTGGAACAAGGGTCTCCTTTACCTCTTTCCACTGATACCCATCATTCAAAGAGCCCTGGTCAGAACATTCCAGATGGAAGCGGAAGCAATCTTCATTGCTCCCTGGTGGCCACGACAACCATGGTTCTCCATGCTTCTGGAAGCAGTGGTGGACAAGATAAAATTACCCCTTCTCCCGCATCTGATCACTCAGGACTCGGGAAACATCCTTCATCCGGACTTGGAATCCCTCCACATGACAGCGTGGAGGATATCCCATCAATAAAGGAGGTTATTGATAAACCCAGGAAGCCAGCTACCAAGCTCCTCTACAAATACAAGTAGCAGAACTTTCTCAAGTTCGCTGAGGAGCGCAAGTTACAGTCTTCACCTGTGGTCTTGTCTACACTCCTACTCTATCTCCAGCATTTGTTTGTTCTGGGTCTTTCCAAATCTACCTTAAAGGTCTACACCTCAGCCATTGTTGCATTTCAACCTCATGGCTCTGAGTTATCTAGGTGGTTTTCGTATCCCACGCTGAAAGCTTTTTTCAAGGGTCTGTCCAACATGAGACCCCCTGTAAAGAAACCGGTACCACAATGGTCACTACAAATGGTGCTTCATTGCCTCACTCGCCATCCCTTTGAGCCAATGGCTTCTTGTGACCTTCGTCTACTTTCATTCAAGACTTTGTTTCTGGTGGCCATCACTTCCGCTCGTAGAGCCAGTGAACTGGCAGCACTTCGTGCAGACCCTCCATACCTTCAGTTTTTCAAATACAAGGTGGTGTTACACCCTGATGTTTCTTTCCTCCCTAAAGTAGTTTCTGAATTTCATGTTAATCAACCATTATTGTTACCTATGTTGTTTCCTGATCCAGTTACTGATGTTGAGCGCATGCTCCATTCTCTAGATGTTCGAAGAGCACTATCTTATGTCACAAGAACCAAGGATTTTAGAAAGGTTCAAAGACTTTTCCTCTGTTTCTATGGTCAGCGTAAAGGTTCAGCTGCCTCTTCTTCTACTCTGTCCAGATGGTTGGTTTCCACCATTTCTCTGGCTTATGAATTGCAGAACAAGCCTCTCCCTGAAGGTCTTAGAGCTCATTCCACCAGAGCTGTTGCCACATCCACAGCCCTGCTGCGAGGAATTGACATCCAAGACATTTGCAGAGCAGCTACCTGGTCCAATGTGTCTACCTTTGTTACACACTACAGACTGGACCTCTGGGCCAAGAAGGAGACCAAGTTTGGGAGAGCAGTGCTCACATCAATACTACAGTGACGGCCCTCCTTCCGGTAAGTGAGCTTGTTAGTCACCCACTGGTGTGGATTCATAGAGGCCACGTTGAAGAAGGACAGGTTACTTACCTGTAAACATGGTTCTTCAAGTGGACCTCTATGAATACACACATCCCGCCCAGCCTCCCCACTGTCTCTCACTGTATAGTTGGGTCCAACTCAGACTATGTTGCGGGCATATGGAACTGAGGCTTGGCGGGCGGAGCATGCGCGATACAGGGCAACTTAAACTTTGTTACTTTTCCTATAGCTCTAGAAAGTTCCGAGAAGACCAGCACAGGCGCTGTTTAACCCACTGGTGTGTATTCATAGAGGTCCACTTGAAGAACCATGTTTACAGGTAAGTAACCTGTCCTTTTTCACTATGCAGTAGATACCATCATAGTTTTTCTAGCTCATGCTTCCATCATAGATATATCATATTCTGGTGACAAAGAAAACAAAACTGCTTTCACGTAATGATAGAATTTAAAACATTCTTCTGCTCTTCTTTCCCTCACCAAATCCTGATTTTAAATGCTAAACCTGTAGTCCTGGGTGGTTTAGAACCCATACTGTAGTCATTTCTCAGAGTCACATAATGGCTGCTATTTTTCAAGGCTCTTGCTTGATTGAAATTGTTTGGAACTTTTAGTGTTGTTCAAGACATCAAGCTGCTATTACGTATCCGATTTCAGCCTAATTCTAATTTCTCATTTGGAGGGTTAATGTTCCTGCTCATGATATGGTGCCTCAGACACAGACATGTTTTCTTTTACAAGAAGGAACTGAAGTTCTTTGGCAACACAGTTCCTGCAAAGGCAAGGAAGGATTCTGTAGCCTGGCAAGCTAGTCCAGTAGCAAGTGTTTTCTGACCACAGCTATGCCACGGTTTCGAGTGATGACTTTTATTCCTCTCCAACTCACGTAATCCCAAGAATGCTGCTGCTCTATAGCATATTGCTTGCTACAATTTGTTTGGCTTCTTTTCTTTTGGTGGTTATGAATTATATAAACCTGCAAGTCCTTAGCCGCAAACGGAGGATTTTCCAAATGGATGACTGATTCTGGAAAGAAAAGACCAGGAAATAAAATAATCAGAACAGGTTTTCCTGGAGACAGCTGGCATCTTTCTCCCAAGTAATCACCATAGTACCATCCATGGCACCATGCCCATTCAGGAAGCAAAGCTTTTATATCACTCTGGCTACACCAGCAATGAGGGATATGTGGGCCCACCTGGAGGGCCACTGTTGTCCTAATCCTGTTTTACATAGACAAGAATTGGATTTTTTATATCTTTTTTTTGGTCTTTTTTTGTCTTTTTTCTTTCTTTTTGGTTTTCTTTTGAATACAGAAGAGTGTTCATTCACATAACCTCTACCTTTGCCTCCTGTGTTATAAACTGGTGCAGGCTTAAGAATGCTGTTCTGCCTAATTAATTTGATATGTAGATCTCCCATAAGATAATAGTTAGGGGGGAAATTAAAACAATAACAATCTCAAATTATGCTTTTAAAACAAATTTAGGCATAAATTTTATAGCTGTATAGAAATATGCTGAATTTTGTCTATGTGTAACAATATTCTACAGATTATCATAATGCTGTAAAATAGTATAAAAATAATTAGTTATTTTTTTGTGAATACATGCACAATTCCATTGCATGCGGTGCAGGTGCCTAACAGAAAATCAGAGCTTGGTTATAAATGTTTTGAATTGGGTTTAGTATGTTTGAAATTGATTTTCAAAATTTCAAGTACCAGACACAGGGAAGTCTGGATTGTTTTGCCTGGGAAGCATGGTGTTTTTGCTCAGCTGCAGAGGATTGTTTATTTTAAATTGTTAGTAAAATTCATTTATTTTGAATTGTTTTGGGATATACAATTGCCTTTGCCAGTATATATTGTGGCTGTGGGGTTTGCCACTCATTGGTGTGTCTTACCACTCAACAGAGGGTTCCTTCTCCACCCTCTGTATATCTCCCAGTTTTGCAAGGCTAGAAGCTGCTGATCTAGTCAGTGTCTCTGGTCCATTTCTGTTGGGTCACTCCCTCTCCTTCTCCACCC